CCCGCCCCGCCCCACCCCCGCCCCGGCCCCGGCCCCCTCTCCGCGGGGCACCCCCCGCCGGAGGCGGCGGGGAGCGCCAGCCTCAGGCATGGGCGGCGACGCTGCGCTCAGGCTGCGGGGCTCCTGCGGGAAGATGAGGTCAGGTCGCGGAAAAAATGTCGTAAACACCCAGCCAGAGACTCCCCAACCCGAGGAGGAGGGGAGGCTCCGTGGACCTACAGCACCCCCAGGTGCCACCAAAGATACCGTGCCCCCCCTAAATATTCCAACACCCCTAAGGCCACTGGAAACCCAAATATCTCCAGACACACTTAAAACCACCAAGCCCCTGCAGGCACACCCCCACCCCAGCCCAGGGATGTTTTATTTATTTATTTATTTATTTATTTATTTATTTATTTATTAAAGATGACCGGTAAGGGGATCTTAACCCTTGACTTGGTGTTGTCAGCACCACCTCTCCCAAGTGAGCCACGGGCTGGCCTTCCAGGGATGCTTTAATGACTCAGAATTTGCCCCGCGGCCCTCAGCCGGGTTTCTTTAAAGGAGTGGCGATGATAGATATGACACCTGTAGATTCTTCTATATTAATATTGAGGACAATAGGAACCTATACGAATAACCTTGTTTACATATCATTTGGCATGCATGCAAGTTTATCTGTAGAATAAATTACCCAATGACAAATTTTCAGTTCAGGCAGTGTTGAAACAATTTCAATAAATTTAAAGAAATAAAAGAGGGTATCAAATATATGAGCAAGGAACAAAAGGCCACAAAAATGACCATGAAGACTTGAAAAAGAACATATAGGACATCTAGAAATATATTTAAAAGGAAAGATGTCTGCAACACAAATAGTCAATAAAAGATTAGGATACATAATATAGAAAGAATTTCTAAAAAGTAGTATGAGAAAACCAAAGACAAAAATGGACAAAATATACAATCACATATTTCACAAAAATGGAAACAAAAATGGTTAGTAACATATAAAAATAGTTAACCTCATTAGTAATCAGGGAAATGCAAATTAAAATTCCAGTGAGATACTATGCATAATATGTCCAAAAGACTGACAAAAACCAAAAATTCCAATATCAAGTGTTGAATGTAGAAAATGGAAACTCTCATACTTTGCTGGTGGGCACTAAATTGACAAAATAATTTTGAAGAGCAGTCTGGCAATGTCTAAAAAGATGCACATATCCTACGACCCACTCCTGGGGTGTTGCACCCTAGAATAGCTTTTGCACGTATACTACTGGACACAAGTTCATGAAAGATTACAGCAGCACTGTTCATAACAGAACAAAAGTGGGGTGGGGGGGCGGAGAAAAGAAAGCCTGGAAACAACCAAATGTCCACCGACATACTAAGAATGCATATATAAATCCTGATATACTCACATACTCATCATATATTCGTAGGATATAATATTTTAAAGCAATAAAAAATAACTGAATTATAGCCACACACTTCAATGTGGATGAATCTCATGGCCGAAGTACAGCCCAAAACAGGTAAGTTCTAGAATTCTTCTGCAGACTGCCTGAGACTACCAGAAACCACGAGGACTTCCTAGTGACTCCTTGTGACTACCAGGAGCCAGACGCCCAGTATGATTCTTTTTATGATGACTGAAAGCAGAACAAACTAAACAATAGACTGTTTAGAGATATACACATATGTGATAAGCTAAAAACAAAAGTAAGGGATAGATGGACAGAAAAGACAGGATAATGGTTGGCATCTTAGCTCAGTTGGCTAGAGTATGGCACTGATAACACCAAGGTCCAGGGTTCGATCTCTGTACTGGCCAGCAGCCAAAAAAAGAAAAAGAAAAGGAAATACAAGATAATGATTACGGAGGAGAGGGGCTACCATGGGAGGAGCGCACAGGGGCTTCTAACTGTTGGTCATGCTCTATTTCTTAGGCTGAGTGGTGGGTACACAGAGGGGTTATTTTATCATTATTCTTTACGTTATACATATATGTTAAATATTGTTACACATATAATGTTTAATAGTTTTTAAAATCCCCCATCCCTGAAGAGCTAGAGGAGGATGCTGCTCCAAGTGCTCTCGCTTGGCACCCACCACGCCGCAGCCCGGGGGGAATTACACACCACCCATAATCACAGCCTCACACACACTGACACAGACTAACAGGCCTGAGATGTCACATATACAACTCAACACTGACACATCCACACGCAAGGAACTGCACCCGTTCACATCCACAGCTGCTCAAGCAGTTGTCAAGCCACCCAGGTGCAAGGACACGCACCACTCTTAAAGGCACAATGCAGCAGAGACATCATGGCTCCTCTCCCCATGATGACACAGCTCCACAAAGAAGCAGAGAGAAACAGCCTCGTGAACACATATACAAAATCCCAGGCACTGGGTCCAACAGAACCAACATGAAAAGCGCGTAAGGAGATGCAAAGACCACTCCCTCCCAAACCAAAACGAAATCACACAGACACACAAACACACGCCCATGAGCCACGCCATCACGCGTACACACGGTACCACTGAGAAAACAGCCGGTCCTACAAAAAAAGCCACACACAGGAGCACCCCCATTATTACACACACTACGCACTCGAACACACAGGGGCACCTCTGTAGGACGCTCAGAAGCGGCCAAACCAAAGGACACACACTTACAAGAACACGACAACCCCACACTGCTGTCATCACACCACGAATACACACATCGATGCGCGCACACCCTTCCTTAACGGACAGCGCCACAGGCGGCGGGCGGGGCAAGGCCCGGCTGGCCCGGGTGCCGAGGTGTGGGCAGGGCGCGGCTCCTGGACTACGCCACCTACACACGCAGAGGCCGAGCCTGGTTTCGGGTGCGCCGGCATGGCCTGGGCACGGACTGGCGGC